TGCAAACCAAAAAACACCATCATCTGAGTGCTGGAAAGTACTCAGGCTAAGGACGTGCAATCTGAACTTGTTGCCATTCAGGCTCCCTTATGATGACAACATTCACCCTCGCACCACAAACACAGCAACAGTCTCCTCGATGTTCTCCATCAACCTTGACAACTACTGCCCATGCCATAGTGGTGAAGTCTGACATAAGGTCGCAACCTGCTTGAGATCAACCTAAAAGGTCATTTGCAGTCTCTACAGTGAAAATGGGTAGACTTCCACGAACCATTGTGCAGCCTTTGAGATAGCATTATGTAAGAGTCCTGGTCAGGGAAAGGCATTCACAATACAGGCAGTGCAGAGATGGTTAGTTGAATAAGAATGCAGTATTGGATGTGTTGTTGGATAAGGTTGATAGTGACCTTTATTTCAAGCATGTGGGCCAAGAGAATACCTTGATGATCACACACATAGAGATGGTAAGGTGAGGAATTGTGGACCAAGTAGCACTTCAGGTTTCAAACAAGAGAACCAGGGTTTGATGATATGCTCATGGATGTGTCATCCAGAATGTGGATGAGCCTCCTGTCTCCTCTCCTCATGATGTGGTAGGTGCTGAACTTGTGGTGACAGACTGGCCAGCTTGAAGAGAGTGAAATAGGTGATCATAAATAGGGACACCCAATCAGATGAATACTGGAGGGCACCGCCCCAATGGAACTCATATATCAGCAGCACAATGTGCTGCTCAATAAAATTCCTCATAGCAATATGGTTCTCAATACATGGCTGCTGTGTAGTTGGATTGCAAAGAGGCAAAATCAGCTATGTGTAAGAATGGATTGTTCTTATCATCCAGCAACCACCCTCTGATGTAGTGGATGAAATTTTTTTGGAAAGCAGACCATAGCACAAGATTATTGAAATTTAGCCGGTAGTGGGAAACTGCGTGTTCACCAGCATGAAATACCTGGCAGTGACTGCAGACTAATTACATGATAACATTGCATTTTTAGTGCATCTCAGCAAAGATATATGTGTGCAGTTAATTGCACCCTGCACCATGGGAAGCTCACTGTCCTGACAAGTGCCATATGCATGTTCCATTTTATTTTCTCTGTTAAGATAATGATAAACTCTCCTCTTTTGACAGACAGAGCCTCTGTGACCTATCAAATGCAGCAATGACGAGCAAACTTTGAGATGTTTCCTATGTTGTCTGCTCTAGCCTCAAAGAATGCTCTAGTAATGAAATATAGAGTCAAGGTCTCCTTGACTGTCACTCGCATTGCCATCCTTATGCTGCTGTGAGGCTGCAGATCTGGATACAACAGGTGGTACAGTCTGTGAGCACCTTCACTGTGAAGTGCATCCACTGAATATTTTGTTCTTGACTCACGTGCAGGTAGGAGAAGTGTTCCCTGAAGATTGTAGGGAGATACAACTTCCTTCTGAGAGCCAACACCTTCTTCCATCTGCTTTGCTTTCTCTGCTTCATCTTCTGATACTACTAAAGGGGACTACACCGATAATCCCATAACACATGTATGTGGTGTATTCAGAGGCCATTTAGAAACAAACAGTAGCTTCTCCTTGTCCAGCACTACTCACTGAAGGCACACAATTTTTTCCAAAATCCTGGATATTCCACAAACTCAGCAAGACCTAGCAGATAGTAATTGCAACTTGAATGATAATGTTACTGAGGTGGGGGGGGGGTGTCCCTTGTGCTGCTGAAAGCATATTTATCCATGTATGTTTAACAGAAGCAATTTCCAGAATGCATGTAATAACATCTATGAACAGGCTGGTTAGAAAATAGGTTATTAAAAAAAACTAGAGTAATAAGGTCAAAATCACAAATTGGCACTGATTTACGTCCTGATCTGCCAATACATACAACACTTGTGCTAATGTTATCAACAAAATAGTGTTCAGTATGGGCCTGTACTAGGAAGAATCAACATGACACCTAAGCCAGCACCTAAAGCTGTAGAAATGTCATCGATACGATGCTGATATTTATGTCCAAAGGGTTTAAATTAGGAAGTAAAAAAGAAAAATATGAGTTTGATTTAAATCATGCACAAAATATTGATGAAAAATTAATAATCAAGTAAATTAATAGAGAGCAAAAAGGCTCAAAGAAAAATTACAAAAATTGTCATGTTCTTACACTTTTTAAAAAAATCTCCGGTCCTAATTAAATTCTAACAAAAATCTGAAAGAATGAGACTCTACTCTTATAATTCCAATACTAAAGTGATTGTTTGGTTATAATGAATAGTTAAGTGTATGCAGCAGCTGTAACTTTTTCCAAAAGCTAACTCAGCAATTAGCGGGCAAGTATAACACTTCAGACTTGACACAATTGAAACATCAAAAATAGAAACTGGAGTAGCCCATGCAGCCTTCCAAGCCTGTTCTGCCATTCAATAAGATCCTGGCTGAATATTCAACTTAGCATTCTGTTCCCACTTTCTCTCCGTACAATTTGATCCGTTTAGCCCTAAGAACTATCTCTCACTCCTTCTTGAAAACATTCAATGGTTTGACCTCAACTACTTTATGTGGCAGAGAATTCTACAGGCTCATCACTCATTGGTACAGAAATTTCTCATCACCTCAATCCTAAATAGCCTACCCTGTATCCTTAGACTATGGTTTTGGACTCACCGGGCACTGGGGACATCCTTCCTGCATTTACCCTGCCTAGTCCTGTTAGAATTTCATAGGTGGTTTCTATGAGGTTTCCCCTCATTATTCTAAACTCCAGTCAACATAGTCCTAACTAGTGTCTCTTCACACATCAGTCTTGACATCCCAGGAATCAGTCTAATAAATCTTCACTGCACTCCCTCTATTCCAGAACATCCTTCTTCAGATGAAGAGATGAAAACTGCAAACAGAACCTAGGTGTTGTCTCACCAAGACCCTGTAGAATTGCAGCAAGACATTTTGCTCCTGTACTCAAATCCCCTCACTATGAAGGCCAACAGAATTTGCCTTCTTCACCACCTGCTGCACCTGCATGCTTACTTTCAACAACTGGTGTACAAGGACATCCAGGTTTTTTTGCTCCTCACCTTTCCCAAACTATCACCATTCAGAAAATAATCTGCCTTCTTGATCTTACTACCGAAGTGAATAACCTCAAATTCATCCACATTGGACTTCATCAGCCATGCATTTGTCAACTCACTCAACTTGACAAAATCACAATGAAGCATTTCTGCATATTCCTCACTGTTTGCCCTCCCAACCAGGTTTGGTCATCTGTAAACTTTAAGATATTACATTTAGTTCCCTCATCAATATCATTCATATATATTGTGAATAACCCAGGCCCAAGCACTGGTCCCTGTGCTACCCCACTAATCACTGGCTGCTGCTCAGAAAATGACCCATTTTTTCTGTCCTTTTTGTTTGCCGTCTGCCACCCAGTTCTCCATCCATGTCAGTACACTAACCAATCTCATGCACTTTACTTTTCCATGCTAATCTCTTCTGTGGGACGTTATTGAAAGCCTTCTGATATTGTACTAGCATTGCAAAACTTGTGGGGGCAGGACTAATCAGAAAACATGTCTAGATTCCCATATTCACTTATATGTTTTACGATACATAACTTTGGAAATTACTGTGTGATTTGCTCCATCATAACAATGAGTGTTGTTAGCCTCGCTGATTTAATCATGAGAGAACTTAGGCCATTTGTTGTTGTATTTACATATTGCCATGTAGGGGTGCAGTAATGTTCCTAAAAGCTCAATAATTTGTCATGTAATTGCACAATGTGACCAACTGCACAGGTTAGTTCAGTTGACTAGGTGGCGAGAATGTGATGCAGGATGACAGGAACAGAGTGGGCTTAATCTCCATATCAACTGTAGAACTTCATGGAGGGCTGCCTTCTTGCCTTTATATGGCCATCCTTGCATGATGTGGAGTGGTGTCCTCCAAGTTAATAAACACTTGTCTCTCATTGTCTATAAGCGCTTAAAGAATATTGTGAGTTATCTTACCAAATTGCACATTAACTGCCCTAACTAGTCAAATATTTTAACAATGCTTTTAGCAAAATTTATCAAAGCCTCCAACAACTACAAATTGAAAAAAAACTCTTTTTAACATGTCTCCTACATTTTCAGTCATAGCACTATCTCCAAAATGTGTTTATAATGCAGACACTTCTGACAAAGTTGTTCCATCCAATAAAACTGAAGAGAACGACTTCTGACGCATTGTTCAGTTGAATTTTAAATCCAACAATTTAGAAGAACTCAGAGAAAGAGATTATTTCTAAAGCTGTATATCTTAAAAAGCCCAGAAATGTTTTACCATACAGTTGGAAGTTCAAGATTTATTAAGATTAGTTGCACAACAGGAACTTATTTTTGTCTATTGTGTTCCTGTCAGCTCTTTGTTAAAATGAATCTCACTGACCTGTTCTCACATCCTTGGAGGTTTCTGACTTCCAAATCTACTCTTCCCTTAAAGTATTTACAGTCTCTGCCTCAACCATTCATATGACAAAGCATCTTGGACAGTTCTTTGCATAAAATTGCTTTTCTACCCTCTGCACTCACTCTTTTAATAACAATTTAAATTTGTTTCCATTCATCACTCCTGAACTAAAATAAACCAAAAAAAACTAAAACTAAAAGTTTCTCCCAATATGATCAAAATTCTTCAGAATTTTGGAAACTATGTTCAAGTTTCTCCCATGTTTCTTTGCTTCATTGAATTCAGTCCTCTGTAAACAGAGACATACTGCAATTACAATATTGTCCTTTATGGTATTTTGCACTATTTGTTTTGTGCTGGGATACTGAAATCAAAATCTATCACAAAAATTATTTGTAGTGACCAGATGGTAATATAATCAGTTGTATGTTTAATGGTAGATATTTGAAAGTTCAATCTGCATGTACAAAAATCAGAAGTTCTCAGTTGCATTCATTCACATAATCATGTTTAATTCTTAAATATTACTTTACTCTGATTATTACCTGATACTTGGCGTGCTTGTATATAATCTGTTGGTGACCTACAGTATATTAAGAAAACAAGCTGAATGCAGTGAATTATGACTGGAATTGATCACATAGTTTTTCAACTTGCTGGTACACAACTGGCTTATCAATTTTCACTGACTCTTGCAGAGTCTCCTAATTTCATTATATGCTTTTCAGAGTAAATCCATTTCTCCATTTTCAAAAAACAAACTCTTTCTGTAAACAATGAATACATATATACGTAGGAAAAACCAATATAGTTGAGTTAGAACTGTTAACTGGAAGAGCTAGATAAAAGGGCCAAGAACTATCAAATTTGTACATACATCTACATATTTATAAATAATGCTTATTCCTCATTTGCTTCTGTGTATGAAGGAGATGGCAGATAGTGAGAGCACAATGGAAACTTATCCATTTACCACACCCATGAACAATGCGCATTCCCTCTTCAGCACCCCACCCTCAATAAGGTTGATCATGCTAACACTTCTGAAAATGCTGAGGCTTTTGACACTGGCCGGACAGAGGCCACAAATTCAGGAAGGAGAAGTGGGAGATGGGGAGGAGTTGCTGTGGGGTAATGAGCATTATTGGAGTTGCTGTTGGACAAGCATTGTTGGAGCTGAGGGACAGCAGTGTCAGGGATAACAGAGGGGTGTGCAGTGTTGGGTGGGAATGAGGGTGGTGTGTGATCATTGTCAGGCGAGGGATGAAACTCCGGGAGAGTACAGTCAGTGTAAGGGGTGCAGAAAAGGTTGAGGGAGGGAGTGAGAGAAGGGTTGATCAGTTCGCAGATGCTGAGGGGGTGTGGCTGGGAATGAGTAATGTTGAGGATGTGGCAGGGGATGAACATTATCAGGGATAAGAGAGCGAGGTGAGGGAGGAGTTTGGCAATGTCAGAGAAAGGGGTAAACAGTGTTGTAGTTGGAAGAGAAGAGGTTGAGGAGGGTCAGATTGCAAGAGTGCGTGAGCATTGTCAGGGGTGGGAGTGATCAGTGCCAAGGTTGTGGAAGGGGTTGGTGAAGCGATGATCAGCGGAGGGTAGAAGGATGAGCAATAGGTGCCGGAAGGTATAAGCAGTGTTACAGGAGGAGGAGGAGAGGGTGAGCAGTGTCAGGGTTGTAAGGGATTTATTTTAATGCCTTTTCCCTATTACCTCTTTTGTTCATCACTGTCTGACACTTATAGGAATATAAGAATATAAGAACAGGAGTAATCCATTCAGCTGCTGAAGTCTGTTCTGCTATTCAATGTGATTTGTGGCCCAATTCCATATACCTGCCCTTGGCCCATATCTGTCAAAAGCTTTGCTGAACAAAAAATAATCTTTCTCTGATTTAAAATTAACAACTGACCTCGCATCAACTGCCATTTTTGAAAGACAGCCCCAAATATCTACCACCCTTTGTACGATTAATAGTATCTGTGTAGGTACAGAGCATCAAGCCCAAGGATTCAAAATTCAGCTCAGTCTTCATTATGTCTCAGGCAGTGCAATTCAAAAGTTTAAACTTCCAAAGTAAATTCTGCATATGTGTCCAGATCGGGAACTCTGCAGGGTCTCAATGTGCATGAGCACCAAACATCTGGACATGTTCTGCTGTTATCACCAGAGGATTCTGCCTAATTTACAACTTCAATTTCCGTGTTTGCATTTTTAAAGCATCAGGTCCAGTATAAAATTAAAATGAATCTTCTTAGATGTAACAATTGCAGAAAAATCAAAAATATATTGAAGTTAAAATAAAGCTTTAAAAAACTTGTCAGATAGACTTACCTGTGATACAGTTCTTCTTCAACAACTGTTAGAAAAGAAGCACAAATTCAGACACATTTAGTCAAATTATGCAATAAATGCTGTGAAAACTACACAATCACATAGAAAAAAAGCCAGACATGTACTAGAATTCCAGTGAAGGTAACTAATTATTCGGGAGCTATACTAGCACCAGTACTTCTCAGAATGATAACAATCGGCAATGGCAGCGGAACATCAGATAATTATTAAAATTCAGTATTTGCATTGCTGTATTACATAACTAATAAAAAATAAGTGTAAGTCAATAATGATAACAAACTTCCCAGAAACCAGACATAAAGAAAATCCTACACATAAGACATCCATTCTGAAGACCTATTCCAGCGCCCATGCTATAATTTGGAAATGTTTTCCAAAAGTCACACAAATTTTGAATTAGTAATGACAGAGAATGGCTAATCTCTAATTACACAGTACTTGCTAACTGTTTTAAAAATGGGCCATTCAATTTTGTAAATCCTGCTAATGCAGATTTTGCTATCTGAATGCTTATTTAAAGCAGAGAGAACTCATAATTCATCTGTAATTAGAAAGAAAGAAAAGTTGATTGGATGGACTTGTGGTGTCATTGACCCCTTAAATGTCAGTAATAGGATAGTTGCTTTGAGAAGTATTGAGGCATTGTACAAGTGAAACATATTGCATAGGGCAGCATTGACTTATTTCAGCTTTTCACTACAGAAGTAGACATACTCGAAGTAAAGAACAATTAGCCCCCTGATGTCTTGTTCCCCAAAGGGAGTTGGTTTGCCCCAAATTAACATATAAATTGAGCATGCAACAGAAAATGGAGTAATTGGGTTGGAAAATGTAAGGTTACAGGGATAGAGTACAGGTTTGGGTCTGGGTGGGATGCTCTTTGGAGAGTCGGTGTGGCCTCAATGGGCTGAATGGTCTGCTTCCACACCGTGGGGTTTCGATGATTCTATGATTCCGTGGATTCAAATTGGACACAGGTCCAAAAGGACAGGGCTTCTACCTATTTCTTGTTGCACGGACATCCATTTGAGATGTTTTGAGCACAACCTAGGCTTTGTTTTAAACCTTTAGCAGCTTTCATGTTGCTCAAGAATACTTACATTGCTGATCCTCAATATGTTCATATGGATTGAATTTCAGCAGAACTTTGTATTACCTGCTAACAGTCATATCACATCTCTCTTGCATACTTAAAGCAGTGCTACTGTACTATGTTATTGTCTATCCTTTTTGTACCAAGATGATGCCAGAATCAGGATTTTCAGGAAAATTGAATAGGTTGAGGCATTTTTCTCAGATAAGACTGAGGGGGTATCCTGATAAAGATAGTGAAGATTATCAAAGTGATAGCCCAGATGCAGCAAAGATGTTTCTATCCTCTCGCAGCTAAAAGCAGAATTAGGGAATGCAAATAAAAAATAGTCACTATTAAATTCAGGAGAAATTTCTTTATACATGGATGATTAGGACATGGAATTTGTTACAATAGGGAGTAGTTCAGCAGAATTTGAGATAAGCTTAATAAGCATTTCAACAAATAAAGTACAGAAGAACATATGATGAGAGTTAGATGAAGAGGAATGTGAGGAAAATGTGTCCAGCACATAACACCAGTACATACACCAGCATAAATCTGTTGAACTTAATAACCCAATCCTCAGCATTCTGAACCAACATTTTCCAAGCTACCTTTAGTGCTGAGGAAGGGTCACTGGACCTGAAACATTAGCTCTGATTTCTCTTCACAGATGCTGCCAGGCCTGCTGAGATTTTCCAGCAACTTCTGTTTTTGAACTGAATAACCGATTGTTATACAGTTCATACTTATTAACCGTGTACCTTAACAGTGATCCCAGCTGTAGATAGGCATGATAAATCAGCTTCAAAGGGATGATAAATAACTGAACACTTCCTAATAGATTAACAGATACACTCCAAAGTTGCAACTTTAAATGATACCCAAAGTTCATGTAGAGATAGGGTTTAAGGAACATGCAGATTAGCTTGTGAGGTACACGGTGATACGACAGTGACAGTATAGTTTTGTGGCACTCTCTCTTAAGATTGAAACTAGAATAGTGAAGGACAGAAACTGCTTTTGCATGATGCTTCATATATGCAGTGTAATAAAACACCATTTGAAGAAACAGCTTGAGGTTGTCCTGAACGTATCTGAACAGCCAAACCCATATCAAAACAGTTCAATCCTATACATGTCAAGATACTCAGAGATACCACAACTGATGATGCAACACAGTGAATAGTGCATCCATATAGTCACAACCACACCACATGACCTGGGATGGATCGGGAACCAAATTCATTACACTAAATACATGTGACCATTGCAGCAACTTACAGCATGATTAAATTACAACATATGTATATGAAATTAAGCATACATTTACATGTGTCTAAGGTTTTGGAATAGATCTGTAGATCAGGTTGTGGGTGTTGAGGTCGGTTGGCTCGCCGAGCTGTTTTGTTGTTCCGCAGTCGTTTCGTTACCGTGCTGGGTAACGTCCTCAGTGCAGCCTCTGATGAAGCGTCGGTGTGTTTTCCCGCCTGGTTTTTAAACTCTGGGGTCCGTTGCGATGGATTGCCTCACTTCCGGGTTTCTTCCGTAATGGAATGTATATGTGGTCGAGTTCAATGTGTTTATTAATAGCCTGCTTCGTGGAGTGCCATGCTTCCAGGAATTCTCGTGCTTGTCTCTGCCTAGCCTGTCCCAGGATCTTGGTGTTGTCCCAGTCGAAGTCGTGGTTCTCCTTGTCCATGTGGATTGCGATGAGTGAGTATTGGTCGTGTCTTTTTGTAGCCAGTTGGTGTTCATGTACTCTCGTTGTTAGTTTCCTTCCTGTTTGTCTGATGTAGTGTTTCTCGCAGTCTCTGCAGGGTATCTTGTAGATGACATTGGTCCTGTCCATGGTGGGGAGTGGGTCTTTAGTTCGGGTGAGCACTTGTCGTAGGGTTGATGTGGGTTTGTGTGCCACTCTGATGCCCAGCGGTCGTAGAAGTCTTGTGGTGAGTTCTGACGTGTTCATGATGTAGGGTAGTGTGATGAGTATGTTGGGACGTGTAGAATCTTTCTAATGCTGTTCCTGTAGGCATCTCCTGACCCAGTTCTTTGGATATCCATTATCCTTGAACACATGGAAGAGGTAATCCTCCTCCTCTTGGCGTAGTTCCATGTTGCTGCAGTGTGTTGTTCCCCTTTTAAATAGTGTTTGCACGCAGCTTCGTTTGTGTGTGCGGGGATGGTTACTATTGAAGTTCAATACCTGGTCTGTGTGTGTGGCTTTACGGTGTACTTTCGTTTGCAGTTCCCCATTTGTCTTGTGCTCTACCATGACGTCCAGGAATGGGAGTTGTTTGTTCTTCTCCTCCTCTCTGGTGAATTTTATTCCGGTGAGAGTGTTGTTTATGAGTTTGTGTGTCTCTTCTAATTTGGTCCGTTTAATGATGACAAAGGTGTTGTCTACGTAGCGCTTCTATAGTTTAGGTTGGATTTGTGGAAGGACAGTCCTTTCCAGTCTTTGCATCACTGCTTCTGCTATGAGTCCGGAGATAGGCGATCCCATGGGTGTGTCGTTGATTTGCTCGTATGTTTGGCCGTTGAAGGTGAAGTGGGTGGTCAGGCATAGGTCCAGTAGTTTAAGCATGTTGTCCTTGGAGATGGTTTCACTGGGGTCGTGTTCTTGTTCAAGGAGTGTTGTCATTGTTTCCCTTGCTAGTGGTATGTCTATTGACGTGAATAGGGCAGTGACATCAAATGATATCATGGTCTCTTCGTCCTGTATCTTTATGTCTTTGATGGAGTTGAGGAATTTTTGGGCTGAGTGGATGGAATGGGGTGATTTGTTGACTAGGTGCTTGAGTCTTCTTTGTAGTTCTCTGGCTAATTTGTGCGACTTCTACGTCCGCTGGGCATCAGAGTGGCACACAAACCCACATCAACCCTACAGCAAGTGCTCACCCGAACTAAAGACCCACTCCCCACCATGGACAGGACCAATGTCATCTACAAGATCCCCTGCAGAGACTGCGAGAAACACTACATCAGACAAACAGGAAGGAAACTAACAACAAGAGTACATGAACACCAACTGGCTACAAAAAGACACGACCAATACTCCCTCATCTCAATCCACATGGACAAGGAGAACCACGACTTCGACTGGGACAACACCAAGATCCTGGGACAGGCTAGGCAGAGACAAGCACGAGAATTCCTGGAAGCATGGCACTCCACGAAGCAGGTTATTAATAAACACATTGAACTCGACCCCATATACATTCCACAACGGAGGAAACCCAGAAGTGAGGCAATCCATTGCAATGGACCCCAGAGTTTAAAAACCGGGCGGGAAAACACACCGATGCTTCATCAGAGGCTGCACTGAGGATGTTACCCAGCACGGTAACGAAACGTCTGCGGAACAACAAAACAGCTCGGCAAGCCAACCAACCTCAACCTCAATTTACATGTGTGTTTCATACATACAGAAATTAGACACCTGTGCCACCTTTGAACTTTTATGATTTCTAAATCTTTCTTTTTCTCTTATCATTCCAAAGAATAGCCCTGACATCCACAGTTGATGTAGAGAGAGCTGGCTGATTTGACAGACCTGATTACTGACATGACTGTGGCCTCATTCTGGTGGACCAAGACTTGGAGCGCTCCAGCCTGCCAAGGATCTCCTGTCCAAGGGCAGGGGTATGCCGCTTGGCCTAACTTGCTGGAGGCGCTGGAGTCACTGGCAGAAGGGAGGTGGTATGTCCTGGGATGAAATCTGTTGCGGGATCCTTGCTTTGGAGCCTTCTTTGCTTTGCTGGAGCACCTCCTTCCTGTTGCTTCCCGGTGGCACATCCTTGAGGAGAAGGAACACGTGGAGAAGGTTGGGATGCCTCTTTTCCCTCTTGTCCAATCATTTTGGCACTGTACACATGGCTAGAGCAATGGAATGCAAGTACAAGCCATTGTGTACTCTGTGGTACTAG